GGTGCAGTAGGGATAGGGTATGTGCTGTCAACATCGAGAACGCTGAAGGACACCAGGCAACAGAGATGAAAGGTGAAGATGGGTGATGCTACAGCAATGGCAGCTGAACCCACCAGTGTTCTTACATTAAAAAAGCAACTGGGCAGCTTATGTGAGTAGAAATGTACACACCTTTCTTAGCCAAAAGCTGCAGGCCTTCATCACCAGGAGTGTGTTATGTTAAAACACTGTTAAAATGCTAGAAAGTGTTTGTGAATATGACTGGATAGAATTTAAAACAGGCGAGTGTCTCTCTCTCTGTTTCTGTCTCTCTCTCTGTCTCTCTCTCTGTCTTTCTCTCTTTCTCTCTCTCTTTCTCTCTCTCTTTCTCTCTCTCTGTCTCTCTCTCTGTCGTCTCTCTCTCTGTCGTCTCTCTCTCTGTCTCTCTCTCTGTCTCTCTCTCTGTCTCTCTCTCTGTCTCTCTCTCTGTCTCTCTCTCTGTCTCTCTCTCTGTCTCTCTCTCTAGGAATATCTTCATGTGTACACAATGAAATGTCTTGAGGATGGGATCCAGGACTGAACACAAAATCCATCTATATTTCCATATGCTTTATATACAAAGTCTGAGGATGACCTTACACAGCACTTTTAGTATCTCCACGTTCCAACTGTGACCTGTCACACAAGGGCAGGTGAGGGATTTCCTGGTTGTGATATCGTGTCAATATTCAAAGTGTCAGGCTTTGGAGAATCTGGACATTCGAGATTTTCAGGTTAGGGGGTGTCTGAGCTGTAATGGGTATGTGGACCTGTCAGCCAGGATAACAAAACCACACACAGAAAATGTCCATTAGAACTTCATTAGCCTTCAGGTCATATTGTGTTATTTTAGGAACGCTATTGACAGGGTTTGTATAAGTAGACTCTGTATAGAATTACGAATATTTATTTTATCTGCAAGAATGAGCTCCATTAGCCTCAGACGTGGCTGGGGACGTGAATGGAACATGTGGGAACAGGCAGGAGCCAGACCGGCTGATTAGATCAGAGCCAATTTTCTCCTGAGCCCTCCTGTTCTGATTCTAGACATGTTGGCTTTAATCTTCCCACTCCGTGTGCCGGCTTCCTCTGTTCTCGCTTTCAATCCTGGAAACCAGCAATAGCTATGATGACCAGATGTAAATGTTCATAGGAGAATCACAATGATTTTCCCGATTTTGCTGGGTTTTTTTTTCATAATTCAGAATTCAGAAAAGCCCAAAACTTCAGAGAAATACAACACTGGGAAACCTGCCCAAGAATCTCCAGAGCTTAAATGAGGTAGTCTGGTTCTCTTCACTCCTTGCCCTGCTGAACACGTTCCCGCTGTCACCATATGCATGCTTTCAAATGCTTGCTGAAAAATTATGACTAGCTAAGGTGTCCTGTGTGCTTAAATGTGAATTAACTGTCCTCTCCTCTGGGTCTTACTTTTACATCTATTCGCGTGTCTAGTCTTGGGCTTTCTGTGAATATAAACTGTGGAAGGAATTCCTATGATCTCCTGGCACCTACAAGCCTGGACTCATTATTATCTATTTGCTAACTGCCTCCCTTACAAAGTAAACCACATTGACATGCTGACACACAACCACGTCGACGCATCTAAACCAAATCCCACCCAAATTTAAATTCCCCATCTTCCTGGAATAACATAGCATATGGTCCATGTGTAGTCTTGTTTAATGAAGATTTCCCAAGGCCCCCGTGTCTTACTGTGCATGTTTAATAATTTACCACTAATTGTCTGTGAAATGCATCACTTCTTCTGTCTCTCTGTCCTCCTCCCTAGAAACCCAAACTTCAATCTATAATTAGATAGCAGACTCCATTTTGCTCCATAGTGTAAATGGTATGTTGGGGTCAGCTTTCCTTGCCTCTCCTCCACAGCCCCTTCATCTTGCAAATTCAAGTAGCTTCCCAGGATCCTCCTTCTCTCAGCTCTTCAACACCTGTGCCTCTTTAATTGTATTACTATGGATTTTTGTATTAGCACAAAACCCCTGGAAACCCCCCTTTAAAGGTCATTTTACTAATAGGATTTGTTGGTTTTTTTTTTTAAAAAGAATCTAACTTAACCTCTATCAGCTCCTGATTACACTGCCTAAGGTAGCCTTGCATATATGCACTGTCTCTCCTCAGCCAATGAATTAAAACTCTAGCTGTACATTCAGTTGATCTTTCCTATAATAACTGCACCCAAGTACAGTAGAGCCCTTCAACTATAGTTTACAAATGTGTCAAAAATATAACACTATCCTAGCCTTCAATATGACCAACACTGCCAGGAACAGAAATCTTTGGCCATTTTCCTTCATATTATATATACAAAGAACATTAGAAAGTTAGGCATTTTTCATTTACTTAAGTTCATACATAAAACTTATCAGAATACTTTTAAATACTAAAAGAATCTAGCCTTTCATACACCATAAATTCTGGCATTTTAAAATCAGGCTGTATTATACCCAAGGGATGCTGAGCAGCCCCAGTTGCCCAGTCTTCTGCCTAAATACAAGGGGGCTTTTAAAATTCTCATCCTAAGTTTATTGAGACAGCATTTCATGTATCCCAGTCTGGCCTGGAACCCTGCCGGATGATCTTGAACTCCTGATCTTCCTGCCTTATTTCACAAGTGCTGAGATCGCTGCCCATCACACCTGCTACAGAGGGCTCTTCTCTCCATGGAAACCTGTCCAGTCTTCTCTTCCTGTGAACTTACATACTTCAGTGTTACTGACCCTCAGCATTTTCTCTTGACACACTGCATTGCTATGTTTAAGTATATTTTATTTATCATACTACCTCTTTATAATGAAAATACATATGGATTTTTGTGTGTGTGTGTGTGTGTTGTAAAACTCAGAACTCAGGACCTCATACACAATGAGCAATTATCCTATCACAGGGATATACCTATTGTCCTTAATTTTTTTAATTTCCTGAGATAACTGTAAATCTCTACATATTATATTTTAGTTATGTATTAGTATTCTGGTTATAATTCACATCATGATGAAAGTAAAAAGAAGCTAAGCACTAACATGAAGGTGTACACGTTAGTAAGTGTGGCTGGTTCTGGCATCTGTGTCTGGTCTACCTTTTCTCAGAAGAGTAAGAGAGCGTGTCATACAATTCTAAGTCTGGCTTCCACCTTTAAGACTATTCCCATGGATGAAAACGGAAGGATGTGTTACAGGTATGGCTAAATACTTTGAACTCCAAAGTCAGGGCAATTATCACATAGGGATCTACTGTCTTACCTCATGTTTTATGGTCTATAATCTGACAAATTAGTGAAGTTTGACTTGAATTTGGACAGAAGCAATGAATGTAGGAACATCAGTCTTTACAGTAGTCACCCACCAATCTCTTCTCTCATTGTCACCATTGTACAGAAGTACTGAAAATGGCTTCACTAAGCCCCACTGCAGGAATGTTACTTATGCTTCAAACTCTTCCACTTAGAGGAACTATGCCCAGTCTAGCATAGTCATAAAGAGTAAGGAAAACTATCTTAATGATGTAATTGTTTATAAAGTGATTTTTATCTGTCACTTCCCCTACATATAATGTATATATATAATAGATACTCATGCATCAATACTAATATGCATATACATATATGTACATACACATCCTGTAGATGATATACACATGAGAGACCATATATATATATATATATATGTATATATATATATGTATATATATATACACACACACACAAACATATGAACACACACATGAACACATACACACACATCAATCCTTGGGGTTAGAGATTTAGAATTCTGTTCATCGAAAATATCCATCATATACCAAATTGGCAAGACTAATCGTTACTCTGATATCAATGAATCAAATCAAACTCCTCATGCCAGTTCAAATAAACATCGTATGATTCCCCACAGCCACTATTTCACTTCTGTCTCAGAACTTCAACACAGAGTACCACCCGGTACTTCTAATACTGGGTCATATTCTTCATCAAAAATAGAAAACAAGCAGGGGTAGCTAGGAAGCCCTTCTTTATGATGATGATTCCTTCACTGACAGAGGCCTTGTAACACCAACACATCAACTGTCCTTTACAGGGGTCTTAGAGGTATGTACTGCTGGAACACAGTCAGATCACAGTGTGTGAGCATTCCTTATCCAAATGAGAGAAGGGCAAATACGGGCAAGCTCCAGAAGAGATCCAACGTGGTATCGTCACTAAAAGTGTGCTCTTGGACAGAACTTCAAGGAAGTGTCCTGGTGCCCACAGAGGCTTTACAAATCATTCTTTGAAAAACATGGTGCCCATCACCCACTAGAAGGCTTCATTCTCTGAAACTCTTGGTGCCAAAGACCCCATCAGAAAGCTCTTACCTGCCCACAGCAACACATTCAAAAGAAATCAGCTACTTTAACTAAGATGTGGCATAGTGACTTTGTGACACTATCTCGTGCATGATGGACCAAACCTTCAAAAAAGGATCATAGATCTAAACTAGCTACATCTTTTGAACAAAGTCTTCCCCACATAAAACAACTAGACTTCCTAGTGAGTTAGTCACCAAGTCTATTTGTGTAACTTGGGAGAATGTCATCAGTCTAGCTTCCTTGACCCTTCCCCGAGCACAAGCAGTTTCATACCCTAAACGCAGGCCTGAAGCAGATCAGGGAGAACAACATCATAGTAGGGCCCCTGCTATCAAAAAGCACACAGGATTTATTTATTTATTTATTTATTTATTTATTTATTTATTTATTTGCAAATAAAAAAATCGGGAGTCCTTTTTAGCCCCTGTGTAAAGAAGCAGTTACATCTTGGAAAGAGCCAATGCGAATACTCAAAAAAAAAAATCATTGTCAAGTCGAAGGGGTACAAGGTAAACCTATACACGGCGTGGACCTAATGATTGGCTTCTCTGGAATATGCAGACAGATGTTATTTTGGCTTTTAGTGTCCATTATTTCAAGGCATCCTTTATACTCACCGCCTCGGTGTGGACCGGGTGCACCGCAAAGAGCAGGGCTGTGATGAATGCCAGTCCGCGATTCTTGAAGACTGTTTTATCACAGGTGTACATCAGCACGAGGGTCACCAGGCAGTGTAGAATGACGTTGACAGCATGGAAGTAGAAAGGGTTCATGCCAGTCAGAAATATGTTTAGCCTGTTAAAAAGTAAAAATTAAAAATGGAGAGGTCTATACAAGCCATAATCACAGCATACGCACAATAGATCCACCCATCATTTATGAAGATGCACTATTTGATAATAGCTTCTGGTAACTTTCAACATTTCATGCTTGTGGACCTTCCAGCTTCTTCCTATCTCAGAACTGACTCATCTACAGAAATCAACACAGAGACAGTTATGGTGCTATTCAGGGAATCTGTACCTCTTAAGAAAGACAGACAGATGGTCATCACTCCATGGTTCATGAAAGCCTCCTTTTCTATCTTTCTTGCTTTTACTTGTAACCCAGGAGAGGGTCTCAAGTGCTGGTATCAGAGCCATGGCCACTGGAGATGAACAGGAACCAGGAGACTGCAACTGTGTCTTGGTTAGGACAAACCAGGCATGAACAAGAACACATGCTCTCAGCCACAGTACCACCAGGAGCCACGTTCCCAGATTCTACATCTGGAAGCTCCATCTATTGCTTCCCCATGTGGGACTCGTTAGCAATGCTTGCTACTACAAGCTGCAGCTGAGACAACACAGAGAGCAAACTCGCCATGAGGTTCTAGTATTTGTGTTTTTCTTAATGGTTATTTATTTTGTGTGTGCATGTCTGGGGGAGAGGATGAAGTGGGGTCACAAATGAATGCCACTGTATGCATGTGGAGGTAAGAGCATCACTTGTGAGAGCTGGTCCTCTCTTTCTACCACGTGGGTCTCAGATCAAACTCAGGTTATCAGGCTTGGCAGCAAGCCTTTATCCACTGAGCCATCTGGATGACCAGGGCTTGTTTTTATAATACAAGCCCCCACCCATCTAAGAATCTGATTGTTAACACTGTGGTAAGCCAACTAAAAGAGAACTATAAACAGAAGGGAAGTCAAGTGCTCAACATCAACACAAAACAAAACAAACAAAAAAAACCCCAAAACAAGAACCTTCATGGCACCAAAATACAGAGCAGGTGCATCTAAAGGTTGCCTTTAATAAAAAGATATAATGTCTCCAATAAGTTTGTTCTTCCTCATGCTGCAACCCTTTAATACAGTTCTTCATGTTGTGGTGACACCCAACCATAAAATTACTTTTGTTGCTACGTCATAACTGTAATTTTGCTACTGTTATGAGTTGCAATGCAAATAACTGTTTTCCCATGGTCTTACGTGAGCCCTGTGACAGGGTCCTTCCGACCTTCAAAGGGATTGTGACCCATAGGTTGAGAATTTCTGCTGTAGAGTCATAAAAGATTCCCAAACAAAACCTTTTGCTGGGAATTCTTGGCACAAATCTGTAACTCCAACACTAGGATGGCTGTGGAAATGGGAGTGTTGTTAATTTGAGACCAACATGGGCCACACAGTAAAGCCCCTTCTCAAAAATTTTGTCCAAAAAAAGTTATTCTTATCTAGAGTGTCCTTGGGGCAGTGTGTACACAGTAGTTGATGGCCCATAGCTATCTGGCTTTCAGTCCATCACATCAAAGCAACAATCCTAGGTATTTATCCTAGAGCTATTTGACCCACCTTTCTTACAAAACTGTCTTTGCCAAAACATCCAACCACCCTTAGAGGTGACATATATGGGTTCTAAATGGTAGAGTGATTTGTGTCCAGCTTGGATCTTCAAAATTCTAAACATCCCAAGCTTTATTTGGGCACATGAATCTAACCACTACAGTTACTGTTTGTGTTGGTATGAGAAATGTCACCCCCATAGACTCATCTATGTGAGCACATGGTTCACAGCTGGTGGCACTATTTGAGGAGGTTATGGTTAGGAGATGCAGCCTTGGTGGAGGAAGTACTTCACTGGAAGAAGGTTTGAAGGTTTATAACCTCCCTTTACTTCCTGTTCTTTTCCTTTACTTCCTATATACAGATGAAAATGTGACCAGCCAGCTTCCTGTTCCATCATCTTCCTGATGTGCTTCTCCCCACACCCATTGTAAATTGTATCCCTATGGAATTTAAGCCAAAATAAACTTTCTCCCCTAAGCAAGTGGAGATGGGATTTCCCAGAGCAAACAGGCTAGCAAGACTAGCCATAGTGTTAAGCTCCGAGTATAGCGAACAGAGGAATCCCTTCATGGATGTGTGCTGTTGATATGGGCACTGCCATGCCCAGGACTCCAATGTCTCAGCCCCATGGGGATGGCACCTACAGAGACTTGCTATGCGATAACCCTTCTCTCACACTGGACCTAATAAACATGCTCAGGTCTGGGTTGCCAGGGGTAGTAGGTGCCTTCCATCCGAGTGAAGGCAGCATTAGATGATCCCAGATTTCTTGTACCCACGTCTGTGTGTCTGTCCCTTCTTTATTCCCTCAGTGCTTTTACTCAGGGCTGTAGGACTGAAGCAGTGTGAATCATGTTATGTAGGTTTGATTGAGACAGGGCTCAGTCAGTAATGTAGATCAGTCAGTAATGTAGAATGACTAAGGATGATTCCTAACATCAACCTTGAACTTCCACAATACACACACACACACACACACACACACACACACACACACACAATATGGGAAAAAGATGGGGAAAGTGTACTTTCTGACTGAAAATCCTAATTCCAAAATAATTTCATCAGAAATAAACACATACGAACATGTATCTCATAGTTATTTATAAAATAACAAGATCTAAGGGGAGTAAAAGGAGAGACAACTAAGTTTGAGACAAAATGTTAATAACATTTTCAAACATAACCTATCTGTGAGAACAGAGAACAGAATCTCTGGTTCTGGGAGCCAATATGCGTGCACAGAAAAAAGGGGGCTACGTTTCATAATTTAATAGAAGAGGGGCTGTGATCGATGCTCTGCATCTATGTTTTAACAGAGACATTTATCAAAATATCTTGAAGACTGCCTGCATATATGACAGCTCAGGATGGATTTGCAGCCCACACAGAATGGGGACTAATACATCAATGTCCTCCTGGACTGAGACCTCCAGTGCTTGTCACAGTGCCCTAGTGTTATCTCTGATTGCCTAATGTCATTACCAACAGCTCAAATGAAACTACAGAATCCACATTTACAAAGATGACAAAAAATGTCTGTGCTGAGAGGAAAAAAGCACACTGGAAGACTGACTGAGATCCAAAGCGGCCACGAGTGTTCATGTCCACACTATGCTGGATGCTAAAACACACTGGGTGCAAAAAACAACAAAATACTCGAATCCAGTTTAGAACTATTATACACACCCTATGGCCCAGATGGGGTTCTTACACTCACCTGAAAAAATTAATACTCTTCAGCCAAAGAAGCAGGGCAAATCACCAACAGAGAGACAAGGAGCCACAGAACTCCAGTGTATCATGTCAGTGTATTCAACAAGAGTTGCTAGATGTTAACCACATGAGGAAATGCCCAGAGATACAAAGAAAAGACATGGTGTCTCCTCTGGAAGGATTCCTGGAGCATTGAGAGTAAGAAAGGAACATACCCAGATGGAGCAGTAGAGTTCCAGCAATGGAAGGACCTGCCAGGTCAGAGCTTTCAAGGAGGGAAATGTTCTCCAAGAGGAGAAGAGAGGCAAGATCCATGGTACTCATTGAGAGGCAGCAGGGCTAAGAGAACATCTTAGATACTGGAGTCACTCGTACAAGGAGGCTCCAGGATGGTGGAGGCCCTCTGAAATGGAGTCTCGGGAAGGAGTGTTTGGGGACATGGGGGACAGAAGTGATCAGAGAGCATGGGTATGATGTTTTCGGAGCTTACAGCTTTGCTCTCCAGTGTCTGGAGCAAGCCTCACTCATGGACGTCACACAGTAAGTCCTAAAGTAGATGGTGGATGGACAGACGGATGAATAAATGAAGCACTGAGACAATGCACTTACTCTAAGTCTACCCAAGGGGAAAGCAAGGTCTAACTACACCAGAAAACAGACTCTCCCAGGCTAGGTTCCTCCTATATACAGTTTCATTTCACCTTTATACCTTTTAACATACTGTTTTAATATACTGTTTTAATCTGCCAAAAAAATTTAGAGCAGATGTCTGCATACAAATATTTCTAATTTATCTCAAAATATTAGAAGACTTGACAACTCCAGGCTGACTGTGCTACAGGGGAACATTTGGGTACCTGTTTCATTAGAACAAATGTTCACAATCAGCCAGTCTTTACCAGTCTCTAATGAAGGCCACTCATTTATCATGGCGCAGGATTTTTCTTTTGGTAAAGAAGATAGTAGATTGTTTCTTGGGTCTCTATTTAGGATCACAAATGGGAAATGAAAATATAGGCAGAATGGCTATTGTTCAAAAACAAAGTATATTCCAAGAGAAGAAGGTATTACCGTGTTCCCACAAATATAAAGTACTATATACTAAAGAACATGAGCTCAGTCCCTCAGTTATTCAGTCAGCTGACACTTCCACAGTTGACTGAGATTTCAACCTGTAGAGGAATACCAAGAAGGTGTCAGCTCAAGTAGCACTGAAGTGTGCTGAATCTGTCTGGATCATCAACTCCATGAGATGTAGCATTGCTTAGGGGACAGAACTATGGGCCAGGCATCTAGCTTTGGGGACTGAGTAGCCTCGGAGATTCTCAGCTTCTCCAGAATGAGGTAACTATTGTCACCCAGCCCCTACTATGTAACACAACCTGATACTTCTCTTTTATACTATGTATACACATTCTATGGGTTCAGTACCTCAAGAGAGCTCTAATACAACCAGTCAACATTTAAAATGAGATTTAAGTGCCCAGGTGACCCAAACGGCCCACAAGAGTCCGGTGACAGTCCCTTGACACTGTCTAGCCAGAGCAGTGTCTCAGCCTCCACATCATCCCGAGAGTACCTCCATGATGGTGCTCAACCACGTTTCTAAAACTCACTAATAACTGTCGTCAGGAGTTATGAGCAGTTTTCGGAGATTTAAGAAGCTAATTTCTCTCCATTGCTGAAATCCACTGCATTCAGCACACAATAGATTCTAAAAGAATCTCTGTTGAATAAACAAATGAATTTAAATTA